CAAACTTCCGGGGGGGGGGGGGGAATCGCGTATAAAATTTGCGGCTTATACACTGGAATATACGGTAATCATTTAATTATCATTCTGATGTCGTATACCACGGTAGACGCGAATGTAAAACATATGGACATTCACAGCGGCACTGTTGTGTGTGAAATGCTGTCGCATAGTCACACGAGGTGAGCAACACATGAGGCAAGTGTTGCTAGACTATTTGTAGTTGCTATTACAACACCATCGGTAGCAATTGTAATTCTGATCCACAAGGTAGACTACACTTTACTTTTAATGGGGTAGCAAGAAAAAAATTGCAATATTTTGCTCCTGACTAGGTACTTTATTTTTTTTTTCTGCAAGCTTATCCCCAAGACTGTACTGAACTCCTTGAAAACAATGACGAAGCGAGTAGTGGAGACTACATGATTCAGCCTCATGACGAAGGCGAACCGTTTAGAGTGTACTGCGATATGGACACTGACGGTGGTGGATGGACGGTAAGAAGCAACAACAGCAAGAACAATTAATTACAACACTAACACCACTACTGACAACAGCAAAAACAACAACAGCAATACCAACAACACTAACCATCACGGCCATTTCTAAAATGCGGATTCTGCGGATTCAGGTTAAATCCGTCTGAACTTGAAAGCGAGCAGTTGTCAGCCGGGTGTCTATAAAACGAAGACCCCTATTTTTTCTCTTTTATCTTAATCATAATACACCAGGCAGTCACAAAATGAAAATTACGGAATTATTTGGACGTCTGTTTGTGAAATATCCAAGGGTCTTCGTTTTATAGACACCCTATATGGGTGTCTACAAAACGAAGACCGAAGACCTATAAAAAGAAGACCTACGATTATTTCTCAATTATTTCATTGGAAGTATTTCCAAATCATCATAAAACTATTCCCAGGTACATATTTCATTATTTCATCAGAATAAATTGAGGAAAACAAAGAAATACTTAAGGGTCTTCGTTTTATAGACACCCTATATGGGTGTCTATAAAACGAAGACCCCTATTTTTTATCTTTTATCTTAATCATAATACTGTACACCAGCCAGTCACAAAATGAAAATTACGGAATTATTTGGACGTCTGTTCATCATAAAACTATTCCCAGGTACCTAATTCATTATTTCATCGGAATTAAATGAGCAAATATCAAGAAATACTTAAGGGTCTTCACCAAAAATAAAAAGTTATCGTATACGCGCTTCACGGGGAATCCCCATAACTCACGCGAACCTACATGAACTCAATCGCTCCTAAACTAGATTGATTAGGAAGTTTGACTATACGCGCATAGCTAGGTAGCTTAAGACATCAAAGCGGAAAAGTTGGAGTGGAGATATGCGCGCTCAAATAAGACGTTTTTGTCAAGTTTAGTCATGGTCTTAGTTATGAGGTGACATTTCGAAATGTAAAAAATGTATCACAAAATAAACTGTATTTCAGTGTATCCTAATGCCGATATGGTCTCTAAAAGGGTCTATCTAAATTGTTGTGATTTTTGTCAAGCCTCTTGACCCACAAATATATTTTTGCGTACCCACTGCCTGGTGGGTCGCGACCCGCAGTTTGCGGAACGTTGGTGTAAGTGTACAAACAATTAAAGAAAATAGAATCATATTTATTTAGTAAAGAGTAGCGTACAATTAAACAAATTGAATAATGGTAAACACACTAAATACTGTCTTGTCATATGAATACAGGTGTTTATATTCAAACCATAATCATAAGCTATACATTTTTATATCAAAATGTGATTCTGTCAACTATCAAATACACTGGTTTAAAAGATTCTGTGAATGTGCAAGCAGAACAAATACTGAGGTAATTCGGCATTTTGATTGTTGAAGCATGTGATGTTTTTTCATACTTAAATTTTAAACTATCGATGTTAATACTATAAAAAATAAATTTCCAATCTATGAATTTCATAAAATATATTTTTGCGTACCCACTGGCGGGTCGCGACCCGCAGTTTGTGAGTGATACATGTCTTATGTAAATGAGAAGACGTACAACGCATTTTGGTTTAGTAGCGCCTTGATCAAATCTTTATTCTCTGCAGTGGTGTAACCACCGGGGGCAAAGGGATAAGTCCTGTGGAAAATCTCTCTCCGGCACCAAAGATGCATTTTCACCCCTAAAAGTGCCTGAAAATGTCCAATTGGGAGCGCTTTGTGCACATTTCTTGGTAAAGTAGGCAAATTTCCTCTAAAAATGTACATTTTAGGGAGTTTGGACAGGATTCTTGTCAATTCCGACGAAATTTGCATTAAAAACACAAAAAAATTTTGCGCGCTTCGCGCGCAATTTTTAGGGTTAGCTTGTGCATTTCCTCGCCTCCTGTTAATTGAATACTAGCCCAAACTCAAAGAGAAAGAAAATAAAAAAGAAGGGCCTCAATGTGTATTGGGTTAAAGATTGTGTTTGTAATAAATAAAACCATAATGAAAAAACTTACCGGTATATTTAGCTTCAAACACACGTGTGTGTAGTAGTCATGTAGCCATATGATAATCCCCAAAACTCAAACATTTTTGCGCGCTTCGCGCGCATATACAACATTTGCTTGTCCTCCTTTGCTTCTAAGTTAATTGAGCACATACAATAGTCCCAACTCAAAGAAGAAGAAAATTTAAAATATAATGGTTAACCTAAAAGAAGGGCCTCAACTATAATGAAAATGCTTATTTTGTTTCAAACACACATGTGTGGCCTAATATTATATATAAGGTAAGGCCTATGTCGTATTGTTTTTTTATAATGGGCGATGGGTTGGGGGGTGTGTGTGAGGGGGAGAGTGTCACACCGGGTCATAAATTACTAACCGGGAAAATTATTACCTTTGCCCCCCCCCGCCCCCATGACCCAAGACCCCTGTTACGCGGCTGGGTATAAACTGGCGTAAGTTATAAACCTATGGGTTTTCTGGACGGTTGATAATTGCTATTAATTACTACCACTAGCGCTAACAGGACACGTCGCTGTTGGTTAACGCCGTGTTTTTGATAAAGGGAGGATGTGAATTCGAATCGTGCCTTGTTGTTTAATTTTCCCTTTTTTGTATAAATGAGACAAAAAAAAATTGAACAGTTTATAAGATTTTTTTTTTTATAATTAGAATGTTCATTTGTACAAAATGAAAATGTAATTGAAAAATACAAAATGTCCTTAAATGAAACAAAAAAATAATACACGCGACTATCGTCATGTGACGTCAGACTTGTCCCTCTCTTAAAGCTGGTTTTCCACTAGACGAATTTATTCTCGCGAATCAAACCGTCGGTTCGCTTCCTGTGCTCTGATTGGTTGTGCATTTTTTCGCTTCGCAAAAACTCTGATAGGAATGTGAATGCGCATGTGCATAAGCAGACGCATTCGATTCGCGCGAATAATTTCGCCTAGTGGAAAACCGGCTTAATTATCTTGCCTCCAATCGCGGTTTTTGTTTTGATAGTCGAGAGAAGTTCTGTTTGGATACGTCTATTCGAATTACCGTCTACTCAAGGCTGTTTTTATGCGTTGTGTTGCAATTGAGTGCAAACACTATGGGGTGCCATACTCAGCAAAAGTCCATGTTAAAATCAAAATGTAATTGCAAAATTCAATGTCTAATTTATCAAAACTTAGGCGTAAATTTCTCAAAATGTAGATCTAGTTTCCCAAAATGAATTTATAATTTTTCAAAACGTAGTTCAAATTTTTCAAATTTCTTTAAAATGTAATAATTCAAATTCAAAACGTAGGTCTGACTTGATCAAACGCCTTCTCCAAATTCTGTCCCAAAAAATCAAAAACCAGCCAAGCATGACTGGTTTGAAATACATTTTACAACAACACTATATAGATATGCGAAATGTAAATCAAAACTAAATAATTAATTAATGATTAATGATTCAAGAACCATCATTATGTATACAATAATATATAGGCCTATTTAGGCTTACATTTTCCTAATTAAGCAGGACTCTTTGTAATTTTTCAGGTCTTCCAAAAACGAGAAGATGGAACCATCGACTTCTATAAAAATTGGTCGGAATACAAATTAGGGTTTGGGAATGTCAATAGCGAGCATTGGCTTGGTAATGAGAAAATCCATCGGCTTTCGTCTGCAGGTAACTACGAATTAAGAGTTGACATGTCTTCCTTCGAAGGAGAATCTAAGTACGCCCGCTACGACAACTTTCGACTTGCTGACGAACAGAACAATTTCAGACTGATACTTGGAACTTACAGTGGCGATGCAGGTAGGTCTATAGTGAGTTAATAAAGATATAACAGAAATTATATTTAATTTTTAAATCTTATTTATTAATGCATTTAGTGTGTTATTGGACTATTTATTTTGTTTTATGTGTTGTATCTAAAATCATAGGTTTTGCTTGTTTGGTCCAATATCAACAAAGGTGACATATGCTTCTGCTGTAAACAATCAAATAAAACATGGAAAATGAACCGTTATAATAAAGAGACTATAGTTATGATTTATAAATTACATTGTATTATCAGCGTATTAAGCCATTTTTGTTCCGATATATAGGCGATTCTCTTGATTGGCATCGTAATTTACAATTTTCAACATCTGATAGAGATCATGATACGTATGGTTTGTCGTGTGCAGTGCTTTACAAAGGAGCATGGTGGTACAACAGCTGTCTTTGGTCGAATTTGAATGGCTTGTACTTGAAGGGTGAAACCGACCAGTACGCTAAAGGAGTCGTGTGGAAACATTGGAAAGGTTATTACTATTCATTGAAAACAACTGAGATGAAAATTCGTAGATTGAAAGTTTAGACTTCAATAGTTGTTCAGAGAATTACCTAATGTCCGCTCTTGATGAATATCAATATTCAACAAGGATTATAATTTATGTTTTATGTAGTCTTTTATGAAACTTTTCTAGAATATTTCAGTTATAGATAGAAACAACAAGCTATTCGATGGCTAATGCTGTATTGGTAATTTTAATAGAAAATAAACATTATGAATTGCGAACAATATTTTTCCGACAGGTATTACTTTCATAATGCAGTACTTTCCTGTTTGGTAAATAGTAAAAAGTTGATATCTAAAAGCAATAAAACACATTTCGTAGCCTATGTAAATATTGTGTTTAGATCTTACTGCCTTGGTCTCTTACGTGTACATTATTCTCTAATGATCGAATTGTGTGGTTTTCTCGACATCATTTATACATTGCAAATACATAGGCCTTTATTAATAGGCCTATTCATAAGCCACACACTACAGCTTCCACCTATAGAAACTGGGAAGGAAGGAAGGAAACTGTTTCAAGAAGGCTAAATACAACGGTGCAGAAAATCAAATAATACCTATATCACCATCTCGGACCGGACGTGGATCAAGGTTAGGATTAAAATAGTATATTGTGAGAGTTGATATTATCATTGATTCTCTACCGTATATACCACAGATCACACCAGTAAAAAAACAATGTGCACCTTTACAGTGACAATGTTCGTGATTCTCTTGCTGTCACAGTCAGGAGGCAAGCACAGAAGGAAGCAGTTGCTGTGCCAATTCCAGTTGCTGTAACAACACCATTAGCCATCACAGTTGTACTTATCCACAAGGTACAGTAATGATTGCTCTGATAAAACCACATTCATTAGTTTAGCAATTAAATTACTTAAATTGTATTATTTTGCTCCTGACTGGTTAATGTGTTTCTGCAAGCTTATCCCCGAGACTGCACTGAAATCCGTGACAACAATGACGATGCCAGTAATGGAGACTACATGATCCGTCCTCTAGGTATTGAGAGTGAATCGTTCTAAGTGTACTGTGATATGAATACTGACGGTGGAGGATGGACGGTAAACCTTTATTAGTAATTAATTTGCTTTATATCCAATACAAACAAACAAACACAAATACCCTCACCAAAGATAGAAAGCACACATACAGTGACCGCTACAGTTTAGCTGACTGAGATGAGCTACTGTCGTCACTACTAATAATTAAATCCTATTTTAAATTGGACTAAATCAAAATTAATATATATCCGATAAATTTACATGAGAAGGCATTCTAAAATTAACTCAGTATTACTCATATACAGAATAGTTATTCAACATAATTCTGTGGTATTTCTATGCTTACAGAATGCAATTATTATAATATAAATTACGATGTTACAAATGGTGCCCCGCATGCAGAATATTATATTTTCGTTTAGACATGCTTCTCTTTTTGTCAAAAGGTCTAACTACCTAATACAGCAGATTTGACATTTCACCAGAATTCATTAAAAAAAAAAAAAAAAAAAAAAAAAAAAAAAAAAAAAAAAAAAAAAAAAAAAAAAAAAAAAAAAAAAAAAAAAAAAAAAAAAAAAAAAAAAAAACCTGAAGCAATTGAACTATTAAGTAGTATATGCAAACACCTCTTTGCCACCACTGGATCTGCCACTGGCAGGACGCACTTGTTAATTTTTCTTTCTTTCAAGTGTCCCGTCCCGTCTCACCACCTTTCGTAGTCGTTTCCGCGAAAGCGAGTTGGAATGTAAAAATCCAATGAATCAGCGCAATAAAATCGGAATTCCAAACGATACTATAATTCTTGATTATATGCAGCTCAATTCGATGATTTATTAAAAAATAATAATTTGGCTTTTCATAATCTAATTCTATTCAATCATTCTCTGAACCAATTAGGATTTTGTAAGATTTGACTGCACCGAAGTAATGTTTGTTTTGTTTTTTTCACGTTCTAAGTATTCCGAAGGCTGAAAGATGGATCACTAAACTTCAATAGAGATTGGTCGGGCGGCATAAAAATCCTGGTTTGGGAACATCTGTAGTGAGCACTGGCTTGGCAATGATAAATTTTATCGGCTTTCATCTTCGGGTCACTACGAATTAAATGTTGACATGTCATCATTCGAATAAGAGTAGATGTAAACTCACTGCAACAGCTTTCGAATTGGTGATAAGCAGAGCAACTAAAAACTGATAATTGGTAACTACAGCGCAGTGGCGGATCTAGAGGGGGATGAATAGCTAAATTGCTAAATGCTAGATCCGCCACTGCAGATTGGTAGTAAATTGTAAAGAAAAGTTCATGTGACATTTGGCGCAAGACTAAAACAGGAATTAACCTGGTGCATGTTCTAAATGTAAATGTTGCTAGTAGTATGTGACGAATTTTTTTTTGCAGTTCAAGTTAAAAAGATAAACATTTTATCGGTATCTCAGTGGCGGATTCAAAATTGGAGAGGGGGAGGCCGGCCCGGGCCCCCTTCATTTTTCAAAAATTAACCAAAAAAAATGGAGAAAAAATATATATATTCAAATATAGGTCTGAGAGTGCTAATTCCGGCATCTAGCCATTATCGCAATTTATACACTTATTAATTAACTAGTACTGCCCATTACCATTATTATACTAGACATCGATCTCCATTAATATAATAATATCCATAATAATAACAATATAACGTTAGCATTATCTTAATTAATCATAAACAATTCCTATCAATGATAATTAACTAAGGTAATTATGCTCATTAACAATAGACCACACATTGATCTCCAATAATATATTTTATATAAATCAATGTATGCCAATCGAACAGTTCACAACAATAATAATTACTAAACAGTTTTGCTCACTATCATTAAATTACTCATTGATCTCCAATAATATATAATATATCTATATCATAACCATGGAGGAATTAGATGGTATAACGGTTCACAATAGTAATTATTAAACAGTTATGCTTATTATTATTAATTTACACATTGATCTCCAATGCATCAATGTATATCTCAAGAATAATATGCTATCATCAAGTCTAATACCCCATTCAGACTAGCTTCGCATTGCGATCGGTTGTAGCAATTGCGACACCCAATCGCACCCAATCGCAAAGTAAAATCGTGTCTGAAAGCTCACCAATAGTAGTCGATATGTAATCGATATCACAATTGTTACCCGTTGCGATTTTTTTTGCTACTGTTTGTTTGTTTTTTTGTGCACTTTTATGCCTTTAACATTATGTAAACATTTATTCAAATCTATCCACCAGTGTGTTGAACCAAGTGTTGTAATCACAATAATGACCAAGGATGTATCAAAAGCCAAATTATCTTTGCAGTTCTGTAATGTCTTTTATGACAAGTGTAGGCCTACAATCCATAAATAAATGATTAGGCCTATCACGATTAAAATAATTCTATAATCATGCTTTTCAAGGTTCTTAAGTATTATCCGTGGCCGATCTACAAAAGGTTCTGAATTTTAACGTTGGCTAAGCATGTACCTGAATGTTACTGGTTTGATTGATAATGTTTTTTTAATAGTTTATCTGTGTTGGCAACTTTTTAGCAGACGGAAATGAGTATGCCTATAGAGTCTTGAGTGAATTGTAGCCGAAAAAACAGATTAGACTTGAACATAATTCATGTGTAAAGAATTCACGGATTAGATGATGTCAGCTCTCTATTTTAGTAAGCATATTTAATACTCATCTTTTATGTTTGTTTATTGACAGTGGCAAATTTACTTTTATTCTATATCTTTTTAATCTATATTGGTTGAAACCATCTCTCATAAAAAACAAACGCTAGAGATGCAAGCGCAAAGGATCGTTTTTAAATTATGTTATTGACGATTAGCAAAACGACGTCAAGAAATATGCATGTGATATTAAGCATATAATATTATAGACATCATCATAGTCTGTTTGCTTAAAGTCTCTATATCTTAACAAAATCGATTGATTGGAAATCTTAGATCCACGTCATTCAATCGCTGTTGTTCAAAATGTAATGTACTGCCATAACACTTCTCAGACGTAAAAGCAAGTTGACTGATGAACAGCTACGTTTTATTGTGTCACTACGAAAATGTTAGTTACATTGATAATACCCATCACTGTAGTCAATTTGGTTGCCGGGTACACGAAATGCAACATAAAAGACTTACAGTCCACAGCATTTAAGTATTACGGACGCAAAAATACAACTGTGAAAAATGAAATCAAGACTCTCCGAGGCATTTCTAAGTATGTATGCTTAATAAAGTGTCGTAAGCATTCACTCTGCTTGGCATTTTCCTATGCAACCAGCTCATCATTGTGCAAAATGTATGAACATGACAGCGAGTCAGCAAACGTGACACTTATACCTGAAGCAGGTGTATGGTTTTACGATATGCATAATAATACAGATTTCATACAGGTAAGATCTACTATCATTTTTTTCAATGCTGTCTTGTTCTATTTTTATCATCTGAACAAATTATAGTTAAATAGAGGCCAACTTGAAAACTAGATTTATCTCTAAGCTTCATTTTCCCCTTCTGTTAAAAAATGTTTTATATAAAAATAGCAAATCATGTAACAAGAATTATTTTACTGTAAATATGCGTCACCAATAATTTAAGTTTTGGATTTATATTTGTTTAGGGTAACGTCGACTCTTGTGTTCAGGGTCATCGTTGCTTCAATGGTGGATCTTGTCGAAACGACAGTTCATCAAGTGGCTACTTCTGCACATGCACCGACAACTATCATGGTCAATTTTGTCAAGATAGTATGCTAGTTTATTTTCATTATTACTATAAATGATGATGATGATGATGATAATAATAATAATAATAATAATAATAATAATAATAATGATAATAATAATGATAATGATAATGATAATGATAATGATAATAATAATAATACTAATACTAATAATAATAATAATAATAATAATAATAATAATAATAATAATAATAATAATATTAATAATAATAATAAGAGCACTCAGTAGAGAACATATCTCCGGCCACCACAAATCCTTTTTATAAAATAAACCTCCCAAAGTGTTTCCTATTTTACTTCAACCACCACCAATACCACCCCACCTCACTTCGCTCCACTCCTCTTCCAAACGCACAGTAACTCGCCCAAACACCTTTTATTTCAAAGAGGGACACTATAATAATAATAATCTTTAAATCTGCGTCGTTGATAAAATAAAATAATTTTCTTTCTTCTATCTTTGTTAACCTTTCCAAAAAGTTTAATTCAGATAATTTGATCCGTGTTTGAAATACCGGTATCTAGTGTGGCGCTATACTAGGTTCGGGCTTTTCTGATCTGTTTGATTAAGAAAAAAAAAAGCAGAAAAATAATTTTTAAGTTGATTAAAAATCTATTTTTTTGAATTTTTTAAATATTTGCTATTTAAATTTGTAATCATATACAATCATTCATAATTTGTTACTTCACCAGTCAATGGACCACCGATTCTTAAATGTCCTTCAAACCAGATTGTAACAGCTGATTCTGACTGCATGGCAACTGCCACCTGGAAGCCGCCGAAAGTTATAAACAACACTGGGTATAGCTTTACAGCGGTATGTGATTATGTCAGTGGAAGCACTTTCTCGAATTACAGCACCATTGTAACTTGTAATGCCACAGACGATTTTGAAAACGTTGGCAACTGTAACTTCACAGTTACAATCTATGGTAGGCCTATGATTCGTTTTTATATACGTAAAATTATTCAAATATAAATAAAACATTTTAAGATGGCGTACATTTAACATTGTTGATATGATAATTTTTATAATATATTATTGTATTAATATTGAAGTCACCATTTATTTTTAAAATATATAAAATAATATTTATGTTTGGTTTATGTTATTGTTATTGTTAATTTCACCTTAATACGATTATACATACTTGTAATAAATTAATTACCATTCATTGCCTTATTTTAACATTTTTAATACATAGAACATTCAGAATAACATTTAATGACCAAATAAACAATGTAAACAACATTGGTAATTATAGTGTAACATATGACACCATGTAGAATCCAAGAGTAATATTTGGAAATTTCTGGAATCTTGGGTACTGTAGAGGCAATAAGCCTACTGGTTAATTATGATGTAAGGTAACCAATGAGGAACTTAGGCTATATAGAATACTCTTGAATACTCTGGAGTTGTACAGCTAGGATTATATAAGCTGACAGTTTTATCTTTCTGGAGCTCTTTTTGAAACACATGTTAATGTGAGTGTTGTTTTGTTATTCTGATAGAGGATTCTTGCTGGAGTTTATTATTAAATTAAAAATTTATTTGAGAGTTGTTTTACAACATTGTGAACAGTGTTTGTAATTTATATGTCAAAGAGGGATTCCTAGTCATTACCGCTCGGAAATACGTCAAGTAGGAATTCATGACAATACTAGACTCCACAAAGTACAGAATTCTTGGATGCTAACATTTTGTAATTTTATGTTTTGGTTTTTGTTTATAATTCAGTGCTCAATGTTGCAAAATAATGTTTGTATCTGTGTGATTGTGCTAATGCCTCACGATTCTGTATAATAGACCGAATTATCAATCGACGCTGTTCAGTTATTAGTGGGTATTCGAACCAAAACAGTCAGGCCTCCCTCAATCATCACATCCAGCCGTGTCGCGTTGTCGTGCAACAAGTGTCAGGGGCCGAGGCCTAGCCTGTAAAAACTCTACGTATATTTAACTTAATTTTACATGAAAATCAAATCAAACGTCTTCTGATGGTTTTATGAATTAACCTTCCTTAACCTACCAATGTTTTAAAAAGTATCTTACCCGCGTACTTTGGTTTTTTTGCTTGTTTTCCTGGACCATACAAAAACCCGCAACGTTACAGAATATGACATTTAGGCTTTGTTTACAATTTTATACCCACTCGGCCAAATTGTGATGACGTCATCTTTCGCCGCTAATTCGGTCTTTTGACCATCTTAATGAATATATTACTCTACAAGTCCAACTATTATTATTATTATTATATTACTATTATGCCTGCCTTTACAGTAAAGCGTAAACAGAGGAAGTTATTATTTTTATTGTTAACAGATGAGACTGCCCCAAACGTTACGTGCCCATTTGACATTGAAGTGTGCACTGACCTAGGTACATATTCAGTAAATGCGACTTGGGAAGCAGCCAATGCATCTGACAACTGTTGTAGCAAGGTCGACATAGGCCTAACTACAAACTACACAAGTGGGGAACCTTTGTCACTTGGTGTATACACAGTAGGATACACAGCAACAGATTGTTTTGAGAAAACTGCTTATTGCAAATTTACTGTTAAAGTTAAAGGTACAATGAACATTTTGAAAGTATTGCAATATATTTTTGTATAATATTTTTATTTGATTTTCCCCTCTTACTGAATGCTTACTAGAAAAAATTCATCTTTATTTAAAAACATAACTTAGTAAGCCTGCCTTTAATATTATTTAAAAAATTTCCAGCGGGTATCCTAATAGGCCTATCCATAAATTCAAAATGAAATATTGATTTTATTTTACACAACATGAAATAGAATGTAGCTAACAATCAATTCAAGCTCATAAAAATGGTAGTATAAACAGCATAACTCATAACATACTCATATTTATTATGTATTTTATAGTCAATTCTTTCGAAAAATATTTACTAGTGATACATACAGAACAATATTATGTTTGTTTGATTATTTTCTCTAGACTGTGAGGCTCCAGTGCTTAAATGTCCACCAAATATAAACGTAACAGGTGATGATTACATGGCAACTACCTTCTGGACAGCACCCACTGTTACAGACAACTCTGGATATAGCTTTACACCAATGTGTGATTACATGAATGGAAGTAGTTTATCTAAACCTAACACTACTGTCACTTGTAATGCTACCGATGATTATGACAACACTGGGTACTGTACATTCAACATTTTCATCATAGGTAAGAAAATGTCTATGGTATTGGCATCATTGAATGTTACAACTTCATGTAAATAGCCTGGTTCTCACGAGAGCCCTAGTATCCGGATCGGGAGCTGACCGTTAGCGCTAACCGTTAGCACCCGCGTGAGAACGCCCAATCGGTTAGCGCTAACCGTTAGCGGTATCCGGATACCGCTAACGGTTAGCAAGCGCTATCGATTAGTATGTTGAGCACGTTTCTATCATCAACCAATCACACGTACGCGTTTACAATTTCCAGTTTCTTATTGGCCAGTGATTCGATCATCATATTTTTGGTATCCGGATCGGGATTTCTCGTATGGACGCACGGCAGCTAACGGTTAGCAACATCCGGATCCTGCTAACCGTTAGCAGCCATGTGAGAACATCAGGCCCATATATCCAGGGGGTGCGTTGGGTGCGTACGCACCCCCTCCCAAATCGAAAAACGTCCACTAATTATAACCAAAAAAATGTGACTTTGTTCCCAGAATCATTATAAAATGAATCACATAACAGTACAGTATTAAGATTGTATGAATGTACAAATGAGTTACAATAAGAATACTAGAGCGCTGACTCCACACGCGCAATCTTTTGTACTGCCAGCGACATAACACAACAAACATACACACGTTATATGCACGTTGTCGTCTAGGTGTGTCTTCCCCTAACTACCAGCCGGTATGTCAGTGTATAGCAATGAAGTCGTATCATAACGATCCTTTTATACAATGTACCCCGTCATGGGTTCAATGGATAGATAGCGTATACATACAGTATAATTATGCTTATACCTCTCTGTATATGTTTTCTGTCGATGCCAAGAATAAAAATGTTGATTAATTTGTTTCAAATGCTTCTAGTTGTTTGAATCAGCTCATTTACAGTCGCTTTTAATCCACTCTTTATATCAGAATTGATTTTGAATTTTTATTCGTAATGGTTACGAATTTATACAGTAGTATTTTTCATTTGGGAAACAATTTGCTTGTTTCTCCATGTCTTTTTTGGCAATCCTTGGAAGGCAGCATCATGTTTTTGTTATATTTTTCCTAAAATTAAATTTGAATTTGAATTGAATTTGAATGTCCTCCACTGGTAATTTGTTGATAGGCCTTATCGCTGTGTTCACGGACATATAGAGATTAACATGATAAAATGCCTTCAAATTAGTCTACTAGGACGTAAGAAAGCAAATTTTTCAGGGGCCTTCGACCGGGGGCCCTTGGCGGCCCCCTGGCCCCCAGCCTGCTTGCTCGCTGCGCTCGCAAAACGCACCCCCCATTCAAAAAGCTGGATACGGGCCTGAGCATAGCCATTTTCTTAGCACCAATTCATTAAAAAAAAAAAAAAAAAATAACGTATCATATTGATCTCTGTTACTTGCGATTTATTAAGGACTTGTGCTGTCCAATACGC